ATAATTTCTCCCACAATTCCATAGGAACAGCTAAATTGAAAAGTCTAAAATGCTGTCAGTGGGTGGTTATGAAATCTCCTCCAGTGGTTTAAGTTTAATATCAAAAATTGCCTCTTCTAACACAAACAATATAAAGTGTTCAAAGGCTAATTCTGTAATTTAATAACCAAGCACGTTTCTCATTTGGTCTCTCTGCAGATGAAAGACATCTAATTTCATTGGTTTTATCCGTCTCTTCTTTAAAAATGGAAAACATCAGCAAATTGGCAAAATAATGTTCTGACTCATTGAAAACCCACCACCCCTACGACCACCACCGTAGAAGGTCTTCTTTTTGGTAGATGTGCATATGTGCCACATTAATTCCCTTACAGGAAAATCAAGATTTGAAAGGAGTTAATTTATAGCCATATTAATTTACTAAATTCAAGTATCTTTTCAAAAGGTGAGTTAAATGGGTGGAAATTAGAGTTGATTCTCCTAAAAAAATTCAGAGTTCTACCATGCTATTCATTCATGGAAAGAAAAGAGAAGAATTCACCTGCTATAGAGTTTCATAGAATTCAACTCCTCCAGTTTGTTCAGTGGCCAATTTAAATGTGTAGAGAAAATAGTAAACTTTCAAATGCACTACCGTTTTCATTTTTTACTTTCTCAAGACTGCTTTAAGATAAAAACTGCTCCCTTTTTACCTAAACTGTTACAACTAATTTGATAATAATCACTACTACTAATTATAATTTTACAAAATTCTAATCAATCAATATTATTAAAGAAATGTGATACCCAAGAAAGGTGAGAGAGAACCTGTAGAGACCATATCCAGAGGTTAGGCACACACACCCCTGATTGAGGGATAGGGCCACATACTCATCCCCAAAATTTCAACCCAGACTTTCTCCTGTCTAAAGGAAATACAGGGACAAAGAGTGGAGTAGAGATGAAGAAAAGGCCATCCAGAGACTCCCCCACCTCAGAATACATCCCATATACAGTTACCAAACCCAGACACTAATACTGATGCAAAGAATTGCTTGCTGACAGGTGGCTGATATAACCATCTCCTGAGAGGCACTGCTAAAACCTGACAAATATCGACGCAGATACTTACAGCCAACCATCACACTGAGCAGGGGGACACCAATGGAGGAGTTAGGAGAAGGACTGAAGGAGTTAAAGGGGTTTGCAACCCCATAATAAGAACAACAATATCAACCAACAAGACACCCTCCCCCAGAGCTCAGGGAGTAAACCACCAACCAAAGTGTTCACATGGAGGAACCTATGGCTCCAGCTGCATATATAGCAGAAGATGGCCTCATCTATCATCAATGGGAAGGGAGGCTCTTAGTCCTATGAAGGCTCGGTGCCCCAGTATAGGGAAGTGCTAGGAAGGTGAGGTGGGAGTGTGTGGGTGGGTGGGGGAGCATCCTCATAGAAGCAGGGGGAAGGGGATGGAATGCAGGTTTGCGGAGGGGAAACCAGGAAAGGGGATAACATTTGAAATGTAAATTTTATATATATATATATATATATATATATATATGAAAGTCAGAATATCTACTTTATGAGAATGAGTGGAACATTAAGATCAGCTGATGAAGAAATCTCTTCAGCCAAGCTATGTGTGCTACTGTGCTGCTTTATATTAATATATAGCCTTCACACAGTTATGCTAATAAAAATCTCCATGACTTGCTTATATATAGATGAACTATACTCTTTATATTTGTACTTGTAGACCATATTCATTCCATAAATATTTGAAGGGATTATAAAATTTTCTTTGGCAGGTACTTTGTGGATTTAGAAAAGATATTGCTTTCATAAGAGATGGCAACTTTGAGATGATAAAGCCTTAATGACATTGAATGGGGAAGATGGATACCTGGAGATACAGCTGATCCTGACCCTGAGAAGGTCTTTACTATTGTTGGTGTATCTGCATTAATTTTTAAATGTATTGCAAAGATTATTTAAGAAAATCAAAATTAAAAGAAAAAGATACTCTACTCATTAGTTTAGGTTGTACGGCTAGGTTATCCCTTCTGAAGTTGTATAATCATGGTCCATGGTGCTTGCTAAGGATCCTATCTTTGCTGTTTAATCTTTGGAAATCATCTTTGTGAAGTTCAGTCTGAGAATGAGAAGCCTACGTGTGTGGACATCATTCAAGCCAGCTGAGCTAAATATCAAGTATATCAATTATAAGGACAGTTTATATTCTAAAATTCTGTTGCAGAAAAATACAACTTAATTCTAACATAGTTTTCCTAAACAAATTGGTTTCTGTGTCTATAAAGTTACCACTAATGAAAAACTGAATAGTTAATTTTAAAAAATATTCTCTCCCTCAAGCCACGAAAGAATCATTATTGATTTGCTTGATTGTTTCTAGGAAAAGGCCTGGCAGAAATGTGCAGTGGAGAAACTTTAATTCATGGAAATTTTTCATTGCATACAACTCCAGGTTAGGCACAAAATGCCAGATGAATTTTAGAATACCAAATCCAGGGCAAATTAACTCAATACAAGTAAGAAGATACATATGAGTTCGAGAAGATAATCAAAAACAAAAACTAATTCTTCTTTAGCCTTAGGTGGGCACACAAATGCCACAAAATCAAGAGGATCAAGACAACTGCTGTGAACTGGTGACTTTAATATATGAGGGCTATGATAAGGCATGCTTTTAATCTCTTTAATCCCACATTTCTCGGGGAGGGAGACCCATAAAAATATCTGTTCAAGGTCACCCTGACCTGCAAAATGACTTCAAGAACAGATAAGGATGTTACACCCAGAGAATCCTCATATTCAAAAGTCAAAAAAAAGGGAGGAGGAATATGAAAGGGATGAAAAGGAAGTTGTGTATATGAAACCTCAGCAATAGGTTTATTAAATAATGTCTGCATAACAACACCAGACAATATGCCAATGTGGTTGAGGAAAATTTTGCAAAGTCCCACCTAAAGAACTACAGGCAATCAAGGGATGATGAACGTAGAAGAAAGAAAAAGTGATTTTATTGAGGGAAAAGCCTCTCACCAAAGTCTGTCTGGTGCCAAGTCATCATAACTAAACTCTTAAAAATAAAAGGAAGAGGGGGAGCAGGAAGAAGAGGAGGAAGAGGAGGAGGAGGAAGAGGAGGAGGAGGAGGAGGAGGAGGAGGAGGAAGTACTGGAAAGAACAAGTAAATTGAACCAGAAATCGTGAAAGCAGGGAAGGATTTTATAAAAGCAGGACTGATTACCCAGATTCTTGAAACACTTTGTAGCTGTCTCATTTTATGTAGTATTAGTTGCATTTATTAGAAACATAAAGAGACTGCAAGGAGATTTTATTTCCTTCACAATGACTTAATCAATGGCCACTCAGTTTTAAGTGTCTCAATTAATTTGTTAGACTTCTGTGCCCAGATGTTTTCTTATATACCTGTCTTCACCAGAATCCTTAGATTCACCTTAAATCCTACCTTTGTTTCTTCTCTGATGGTGCTGGCTTACAGGAATGACAGTTCATTTCCTTTATTTATATGGCATTTGACTAACACTGTATGCATACACACGAAAAACATGCATATTCAGAACTCAAATTGATAAGTATTGTAAAAATCTCACAGTACATTTAACTATCCAAAATAAAAGGTTTGGATTTGTGTGTATGTGTTAACATCATTTGAATTAACAAATAAATTTAATTATTTGAAAATAGACCACAAATAATGATAAATAATATACAGAAGAGTATGTATATAGGATTTATTTTTTTTTGTTAATTTCAAGATTGTGTACAGTAAGCGGTCCTATCAAATAGACAAGTTTTCATTTCAGGAACAGAATATTTTATCAAAGATAATACTGATGTGGTTGGAAATATGCCAGAGGCTCTTCTGGTACCTAAAGATAGCAATTAAAGTCATTAATAATTATTGAAGAGTAAGCTTTTAGCCAAGATTTAGTGAGGCTAGCAAAATAGATCATTAATTGGCCTGATATCAAAGAGCTGAGTTGTAGAAGTAATTTGTATAAATTATGATAAAAGACATATAAGAAAACTTGAAACCTTGCTCTACATTGAACAACACAGGGGAAAGTATCGTATGGATTGTTGCTTTCCTGAGTAGAATTGAAGAAATGCTTCAAGGTAAAATTTAACACTAAAGTGAAGAGTAGAAATGAGATGAAAGCCAAAAATGATCAAAATAAATTTGAGATGCTACTATTTATTTATTTATTTATTTATTTATTTGAACTTTTAAGGAGGAAATGGAATCACACTGCAGCCTAGGCTATGTCAGAACTCAGAATACAACCCAGGATGCCCTTGGATTTGCTATAATTCTTTTGTCTCACCTTTCTCAATACTGGGATTACAGATACATGCCACAAGCCAGGATTATCTCTCACAGTTTAGACACTGTTTGAAGTACTAGAAATACACACAAACCAAAATTAAGTCATTCCTTCTCTTGGATTTCACCATGTATTGACAAATTACTGTCAGCTCTTTAGAGAAATGTAAGATCACAAAGGATACTAATGTATAGATAGATAGATAGATAGATGATAGATTGATGATTAGATAGATAGACAGATACACAGATAGGAGAGAGAGAAAGAGAGAAAGAGAGAGAGAGAGACAGAGGGAGAGGGAGAGGGAGAGGGAGAGGGAGAGGGAGAGGGAGAGGGAGAGAGAGAGAGAGAAAGAGAGAATTAAGAGGGTATTGAAGTGAAAGGAGGTTGTTTTGTTTGCTGAGGCCAGCAGGTTTTTGTCCTGGTAGAGATAACTTAATCCTAGCTGTGAGAGAGACTTTGCTTCAAAGTTCTCCTCCTGGGGTTTGTAATCTCACCCACTCACTAGCAACAGGATGGCAGAGGCCCAGTATTCAGCAAATGGCCATGCTAATTCTCAAATATCTTCATTTCCAAGGCTCTTTGCAAATCATATGAGATGATTTTCTCCTTATTTCTTAAACATGCTGTTCAAGTTACACTCACATGAGTTTAGAGTGTCAACAGAAGCTCCAACTTCTTCAGCTCCACTCTGTCTGGGTAAACATTCAGGCTTGCAATCAAGTGAATCATTT